TGCTCACCCGCACAGCCGCCGCGGCGAGCGCACGCAGGAAGAGAAAGGGCTGCCGCAAGGCCTGCTGGGAAGCAGCCGGGGGGAACCCGGCACGGGGCGGACCGGGGCTCCCCAGCGTCCGGTCGGAAACAGGAACCGCTGCAAGAGAGCGGCCGCTGGCAGCGCGGGCCGGGCTCCTCCTCGCAGCGGAAACGCTGCGCGTGCGGGGCTGGCTGAGCTGCCTCCAAGACGTGCGTCTGCTGAGCGCTGGGGGAGGGGCGGGGAATGCTGCTGTCCCCGGCCCCAGGCGGGGAGTATGGGGTAGAGGGAGGTCGCGGCTCTACTGCTCTAAGGTGCTGGGGCCACTGACACGCGTCCCCCCGGCTCTGTGGCTAGCAGCCTTGCGCTGTCCGGCGAGCCCAGTCTCCCGCGGCCGATTTCCTGCACAGGCTCCTCTCCTGCCCCCTTCCCAGCATGCGACCATCGTGGTTCAGCGCCTCGTTCCCCCAGTGGTGGCAGTCCGGGCTCGGGTCCCGTCCTGCCGAGCGCCCCGACGTTGGGTCCGGGAAACATTCAGTGCCTTTCTGCAGGGCGTCGCCTCAAAGGCTTGTGATCCTGTCTGTCTGCCTTCCCAAGCGTCCAGCTTTCATAGCTCTAGGGTATGACTAGCCCCGTCGATGCTTTTATCACCTTGTTGGTGTGTTAGCAATTTGCCTCCTCATCCACATTGCCCCAAATTGTTTAGCATCGTGCCAGCTTTCATTGTGCATTTATTTACTTATCTTCCACTAAGACTGCAGCCAAGAGCATACACAGTGAGTTGCTCCTAGGGCTGTTATGTCAGCTGCTTTTTTCTGCAGTTGTGGTCATCAGCTAAGACCCCCACAACGCTCAGTGAAACGACGATCCCTCGGGCCGTCCAGAGACCTTGGTCTCCAGCAGCCGGCGGGGCCCGGGGGCAGCAGCGTGGTCATGGCCCGCCCTGCCCTGTCCGCCCGGCGAAAGCGCATCCTCCGGTCCTGCTCCTCCCCGCAGCGCCTCCCCCCACAAGGCACCGCTCCGCTCGCCACCCTCTCCCGCAAGGCACCGCTGCGCCTCCTCGCGCCCCCGCGACGCGCTTCCGGCGCCCTCCCCCTTCCCTGCGCCCCCACAGTGCCGCGCTCCTGCGCTCGGTGCCTGCGGCTGGGACATGGCGGACACAATGAACCCCTCTCCAGGCCGCGCTAGGTGGTTCTTCCCCCGCCGCCGGCCCGGGGCCCGTCCCGGCCTCCTCTAGCTCCCAGGAGTCCCGCGGAGCCGCCGCTGGGCCCTGCCCGCCCCGGCCGCTCCCCTCCGCGCGCGGCAGCGGGATGAAGCTGACGGACAACGTGCTGCGGAGCTTCCGCGTGGCCAAGGTCTTCCGTGAGAACTCGGACAAGATCAACTGCTTCGACTTCAGCCCCAATGGCGAGACCGTCATCTCCAGCAGTGACGACGACTCCATCGTGCTCTATGACTGCCAGGAGGGCAAGTGAGTGCCGGGGTGTGGAGGGGGAGGCGCAGGTAGCTCCGCGGCAGGGTGGCATTGCTGTGGGAGGCCGGGTGTGAAGGGCTCTGGGCCGGGGCACTTCAGAGCCCCCCGATGCACTCTGGGAACTGATGGAGTTGAGCTCACGGTGCTGGTGGCACTGTGGGGAGCGATAATAACCACACCGGATCATTTCTGATGTCGGGAGGATGGGGGAGGGTGGTAGGAAGGGATGCAGCCTATGATGGTTTTCCCGAGTATGGCTGGATGGTGTTGGTATCATAAGCACAGACATCTGTGAGCTGCCTTGCTAAGTGTTTTCAGCTAAAGACTGATGTGCAAGGGTGGTAGGCGGGAGGAAGATACCTGGATCCAGGGAGGCTTTCTCAATGCTGCTGCCACTGGTCAGGCTTTTTCTGAAGCAGTTGTTAGGTGATACTGACCTGCTTTCCAGTTTAGCTGCTGCCTGTAGGATTGTGAACAGTGAGAGAGAAGCTGACTATAGAGAGGCCTGGTGGTTTTGCTCTGCACCATCTATATAGCTGCAAGCTATATTTGAAAGCATTGAAGTTGTCCGACTGCTCTATAGTACCTACTCTTCTATAGAATAAATTCAGTAATCAAAAAAAGGGGATAATAAGACTTGTAAGTAGAGGTGCAGTACCAAAATACTTTTGGTATTTATTAGATTCTGCCAGGGGATGGTTCCAAAGTTCTGTCTAGACTGCAGCCTTTTTTGTTGTTTTTTTTACTCTGGCTAGTGGATCTGCAACTGTGGTGATTTAGAAAAGCTAAACTTAGTATTGTGAATGTAGATGGGAACATATCTTCCAGATATGAAGCAAAATGTGATCTTTGCAACCACAAGGATTAAATAAATAAATGACCAAAGCATTTAAATTTGAAGGTGGCTTGGAGGGCCAACGTGAAAACATCACATGCATATGATGAATAAAACCAAAACGGTCTATACCCTTGGAGGGTAAAGAAATGAGGGGACAGTAAAAGCAGAGAGAAAAAGATCTGGGGCTGTGCAATGAAATGTTATCTCAGCTGCTTAGGCAGAGGTGGGGTACACAACCAGTATAATTGTCTGACAGGAAAACATGGTAGCTTTATGCACTCTTATTCTTTCAAGCAAATTTAAATTAAATATTACTGTTGCTATGGTAGAAAGGCAGTTTTCCACTTTCTGCGTGTTCTGTTTTTCTCTCTTCTGTATGCATTTGATTCAATTTATGTTTAGTTTGCCTTGTTCAAATTACAAAAGTAATGTTACTGTCACCACTTATCTGAGAGAGTACACCTGAATTAAGACCATAACTTTTAAAAATTTTAACTTAAATTGCAGCACAGTATGTATAGATGGGTATTTCCAAAGGCAGCCCACATTTGCTTCAAATGCATCAACAAGATTTTTACTTACCTAATATTTTGGGATTTAATAGAAAAAATTGAAAATGCTTTTCAAACCAGTCATAACATTTTTTGAGACTCAGAATAGCAGGCTCAAGGTTGTAGATAATGGATTGTTAGACATCTGGATTAGCCTGTCTAAATTTCGGTTTATGAGAGAATAACCATCATTAATTGCTATAACAACTAAATTCAGGCTAGCTGGTTTCAGCTGGGCTTTTATTTCTAATTTAATGACTTCTGAAAATGTCTTTTATTCCTTGTGTTAATACTGCTGACTTCAGTATACTGCAACAGAGGCCACAGTATTTCCCATGATAAAGAAATCTGATATTCATTGACTCTTGCTCAGGCATGAGCTTGCCAGTAAGCCAGCTCTGTATTCATTTTCCCTAGGAGACATTGTGGTGATAGAGTGATAGAAAATTAAGGTTGGAAGGGACCTCAGGAGGTCGTCTAGTTTAACCCTCTGCTTAAACAAGGACCTTCCCCAACTTAGATCCATAGAAGTAGGGTCGAAAGGGACCTTGTAGATCATCAAGTCTGACCCCCTGTCCCGGGCAGGAGAGAAAACCGAGCTCAAATGACCCCAGCCAGGTAGATGTCAAACCTCCTCTTAAAGACCCCCAGAGTACGAGCCATCACCACTTCCCTTGGAAGTTGGTTCCAGATCCTAGCCGCCCTGACTGTGAAGTAGTGCCTTCAGATGTCTAGTCTAAACCTACTCTATAACAATTTGTGGCCATTATTCCTTGTTACCCCGGGGGGCACTAGGGGGAACAGGGTCTCTCCCAAACCCTGCTGTTCCCCCCTAGTGAGTTTATAGATGGCCACCAGGTCCCCCCTCAGCCTTCTCTTGCGAAGGCTGAACAGGTTAAGGTCTCGTAGCCTCTCTTCATAGGATCTGCCCTGCTGTCCCTGGATCATGTGAGTGGCCCTCCTCTGGACCCTCTCAATGCTGTCCACATCCCTTCTGAAGTGCAGCGCCCAGAACTCGAGCTGCGGCCTGACCAGTGTCGCATAGATGGGGAGGATCACCTCCTTGGCCCTGCTTGAGATGCACCTGCGGATGCACGACAAGGTATGGTTAGCTGACCGTGACCTTGCATAGTCGGCCCGTGTTCATCTTGGAGTCATTACTGACTCCAAGATCTCTTTCTGCCACCCTGCTCTCGAGAAGGGAGTTTCCCAGCTTATAAGTGTGCTGCTGGTTCCTACTGCCCAAGTGCAGCACCCTGCACTTGTCAGTATTGAAATGCATCCTATTTTCATTAGCCCACCCCTGTAACCTGTCCAGGTCCTGCTGTAATCTGTCCTTCCCTACTAGCGTGCCCACCTCACCCCAAATCTTGGTATCATCAGCAAATTTAAGCAGGCTGCTTTTTCCCCGTCATCCAAGTCACTAATAAAGAAATTGAACGGTGCAGGCCCAAGGACCAAGCCCTGGGGGGACTCCACTGCCCACTTCCCTCCAGGTCAAAAAAGACCCCATCCACCACCACCCTCTGAGTACGACCCTTAAGCCAATTTGCAATCCATCTGACTGTGTAGGCATCAATGCCACAGTCACCTAGTTTTTTGATGAGAATGTGGTGGGAGACTGTGTCAAAGGCCTTGCTGAAGTCCAGAAGGGCTACATCCACCACGACACCTGCGTCCAATGCTTTTGTGACCTGATCGTAGAAGGCTATCAGGTTGGTCTGACAGGAACTGCCCCTAATGAAACCGTGTTGGTTGCCCTTGAACATCATCCCTGCTACTGGCCCATCACAGATGTGCTCCTTGATGATCTTCTTAAAGAGTTTCCCCAGGATTGAAGTAAGACTAATGGGTCTGTAGTTGCCCGGGTCCTCCCTCTTCCCTTTTTTGAAGATGGGGACCACATTGACTTTCTTCCAGTCATCTGGCACCTGGCCAGAGCACCACGAGTGCTCGTAAAGCCGTGCCAGGGCCCCCACAATAACCCCTGCCAAGTCCCTCAACACCCTGGGGTGGAGAGCATCTGGACCTGCTGATTTGAACATGTCCAGCCCCTCCAGAAGCTCTCTAACTATATCATCTTAGCCAAGGCTTTGTCTAGTTCAGTCTTAAAAATCTTCAAAGATGGAGATTCCACCACCTTGCTGGGTAACCTGTTCCAGTGCTTTACTACCCTCCTAGTGAGAGAGTTTTTCCTGATACCTAACTTAAACTTTCCTTTCTGCAGCTTGAGGCCATTGCTCCTTGTTTTGTCATCTGCCCTTTGGAACCACCCTTCAGGTAGTTGAAGGCTGCTATTAAGTCCTTTTCCAGACTAAATAAGCCCAGTTCCCTCAGCTTCTCCTTAGAAGTCATATGTCCCAGCCCCTGAACCATTTTTGCTGCATTTTGTTGGACTCTCTCTAAGTTGTCTCTGAAGTCTCATATATTGTAGCTGTTTTTTTGTTTGGATCAAGAATAAGGCTGGTTTCAGCTTTAAAACTGAAATTGTTTAGTGACCAAATGTTCTTTAAAAAAAGAAAAAAAAGGCATCAGCTTTTTCAGTCTTCTTGTTTAGTAGTAATAGTAACCAAGCAGTGTGGTAAAGACCTATGTCTTCTGTCTTGATGTGTTTTGCATGAGCTACAAAATGGTTACTTTCATCTAGTGAATTAATTTTAAATGCGGTATACCAGCTTATGAAGGATGCCTTAATCAAATTCTTATGCTCTCTGCAAATTCCACAAAATACTTAAACTTCCTGAAGTGAAGCCCAAAAATACCTTTTACCTTTCCTTTCATTCTGGAAAGTGTCTTCAGGTTTCCTTTTTACTATTCTTTATCATATGCTACTGTACCATATTTTCTGCACTTGGCCATGGGCCTTCAATATCACTTTCTTGAAATTCAGGCCACTTGTTTTTAACCCAGAAATCTCAACAGGATATGAACCAAGCATTTTTTAAATAGTCTGTATGTGTAACTTCACTTCCATTGTACAACACCATTTGTATTAAAGGATTAATTTGCAAATTAATTGCGTGATCAGTCAGCAACAGCAAATTCTGATAGCAAAAGTAACAATATTCTAGAGGAAAAATATGCCTCTTAAAACAATTCAAATTTCACAAGTGCATGCCTAGTGAGGAAGGTTTAAGCTGGGTTTGCTGGGAGATGAAGACCAAAGCTCTGGAATTAGTGGGGAAGTGGGTGACTTGGAGGAAGAGCAAGCAAGAGCGGGCATAGGGGAAGTGTTCTCATATTTCCTGAGAAATCGGGGCAGTCGACCTCAGGTGTCTGTACATAAACACATGGAGCCTGGGAAACAAGCAGGAAGAATTGGAAGTCCTTGCACAGTTGTGGAACTATGACATGACTGGGATAACAGAGACTTGGTGGGAGCTCATGACTGGAGCACTGTCATGGATGGGTACAAACTGTTTAGGAAGGGGCAGGCAGGGGAGAAGAAGAGGAGTTGTTCTTTATGTAAAAGAGCCATATGATTGCTCAGGGCTCCCGTATGAAACTGGAGAGAGGCCTGTTGAAAGTCTGTGGGTTAAGGTTAGAGGCGAGAGCAGCAAGGGTAATGTTGTGGAGTGTGTCTTCTACAGACCACCAGACCAGGAGGA